CTGATGAACACTTTCTGAGAGTCCTTAGACACTTAGACAGTGCTCTTGGGATTACTCTAAAGCAGGTAAAAGAGAGGTGAGATCTCCGTGTGAAGCTATGACCTACGTGACCAGCATATGTTTCTCTTGTTTGTAACTGTGTGACTACGCACCATATCTATCCTGCTGTTTCGGTCCATCCTGATCTAGTGACTTCGGATTATTACTCCACAGACAACACCAGGGACAGTGCTCAGATCACGACCCCGCCTCAACTTTCTTCGAGAATGAAACATATTAAACAAGAAATGGCCAAAAACCACCTCCAGTTTGTACGCTTTGAAGCAACGGACTTGCACGGCGTCTCCAGATCAAAGAGCATCCCTGCACAGTTTTTTCAAGTGAGTTTTCCAGTGGTGAGGAGTGTGGTTTCATGACCAGTTGCAAGCAAACACTCTTTATGACTCGTCTGCATTTTCTTGTAATCTACACAGTAATTTGAGCTGAAAAGCAATAATTTGTTTTGCTATTTTCCTTGTCCCTCCCCACATTACTGCTCCCCAAGGAGATGAGCACACAGTAGCAATTCCGATATCCAATAGAAATAGGAAACTAATTAAGGCTGGTTATTTCAGCACTTCTGCCTTGAATTATTTTACTCTACAGAACTCTCTTTTCTTTTCATATTGCAATTATAAAGATTATATTTTATTTGACATGAGGAAATTGCAACCCAAGACCCAAGAGCAAACAGGAAAGGTAGATATGATTAAGTAGAAATGATTTGCTAGATAAGAATTGTATCCGTTCAGCAGTAATTCAGATATGAAAATCCCCAATTGTCCTTAGATGACTTAATGAATATTATGTCTTGAAAATAGTGATATCAAGAAAAATTGCCTTTGTGGATACCTTTAAGGATTTTTCTAGCATTGTTTTGTTTAGCTTATAGCATGTGTTTATTCTGGTGACTAATTTGTTGGGATTATTAAACATCAAGTTTATCAGGAAGGGATATCAGCCGGTACCAATAGTTAAGAAAATATAAAATCAAAGCATCCTGGAATTATATTTATTTGTTTATTTATTTATTTATTATGTATACAATATTCTGTCTGTGTGTATGTCTGCAGGCCAGAAGAGGGCACCAGACCCCATTACAGATGGTTGTGAGCCACCATGTGGTTGCTGGGAATTGAACTCAGGACCTTTGGAAGAGCAGGCAATGCTCTTAACCTCTGAGCCATCTCTCCAGCCCAATATGTCATATCTTTTTGCTTTAGTACCAAATTGTATACTTTCTTGGTGTTGGTTATTTTCAAAGTTGTTTTTGAAAATTTGAACAGTTTAAATTTCTTTCTTCAAAAGTTCTTTGGGAGTCAGCAAGACAGGTCAAAGGTAAAGGTGCTTGCCACTAACAACTCTAGTTCTATCTCTCAAAACTACATGGTGGAAGTGGAGAACTGATTCTCACAGGTTGTCTTCTGAGCAACCCTTCACACATATGCTTGCACAATACACACATGATCAATCAACTGATCAATCAATCAATCAATCAATCAATAAATGATCTTAAAAGTATTTGGTCTTGTTTGTAAATAGCCTATAGTGTTTCTTCTACATTCAATTAAGAGCTCTACACGTTAGTTAATTCTTATAAGAAAGTGTGAAATTGCTATGGGCAGGATCAGAAGATAATTCAATCATTCACGTGAATTTCCTTTAACCAGGGATAATACACAATTGGCATTTTAGACACTGGCCTGAACATAAACCTGTTTGCTATTCTGGTTTCACCAAATTCTAATCATCTATTTCACTAGTGATTTTAGGAAACTCAACACTTAGAACACTACTCTAGTGCTTCTGTGAAACACCCTTCCCCCAAATAGAGCTGATCCTTCCGTTTACATTTGCTGAAGATTGAGTTCATTGACATAGAAGAAAATGTCTGCATTTGAAACTGCTGTTGAAAGCGTTAATTTTCTTGTTCAATATTCCACATATCGAAAGACTTTTTCTTCCTGCCTTGTCTTGGAAAAAACTGTTTTACCCTGAGAATTTGATGCAAGTCAACACACCTCCTTTTCATTGGTTTGCTTATTCTTAGTCTCCATTTTCACAAATTCTGTTTATTATAGCCTTAGTTCATTGTTCTTTTATTCTAATTTTATAATCATAGAGCATGTATTGTGAAATAACACTCTTTAAACTGATGTTGGAACTTTTAAACCATGAGTACTTTTATCACAAATATTAATGATCTAAGTCTAGATAATTTATTTTGGATATGTTGTTGTGCACATATAAGTTCATTTCTACAAGTTAATCTGAACTATACATATATAATTTCATATATATGTAAACACACACATATATAAATTTATACATATATAAATAAAATTATGTATGAGAAATTTCTTTGGAAAAAATATGAAATCAATAGCTTATATGTGGCATTATAAAAATAGTAACAAATTTTTTATCAAATTTTTTATATAATCTGTTCTGATCATCCTTCACTCCTCCCCCAACACCTTCCAGATCCCCCTCCCCTCTCCATGCCTTTTCTATCCCTCTTTAAAGAACAAAATAAATAAGCAAAGAAATCTAAACCAAGAAAACAAGAAACCCTCTCTTTCTCATACACACACCAAAAATGAAAACCAAGACACACAAGCAAAAGACCAGTCAGACAGGGAAAAAAAACCCTCCCAAATAAAGAAATTGGAGACAAAAAAATGTACAAAAGTCTCCTTCTTGAGTTCCTTTTTGTTGGGCATATAGTGCTTAAGGTGGAGTCTACTCTGACGCATGGGTAATATACTTAGAGAGATGCAATTGAAAAAACTAATTTTTTCTTTGCAAGTGGGTGTCAATTTTAGATAACGTCTTGGTTAGGGATGGGAGCCCATGTTCACATCCCCTTCGCAGCACTGGGATTTTAAGTATACATTTAAATCATTTTTATTTGTGTAAATAAAGTGCTAAATTGAAACTATTAAGCTAGACTGTGAATGACTAGCGGCGACAACATAATCTGTCTTTATTTGCGGGATAATATAGAGAAATTTTTTCTCAAACTAAATCAGCCAGGCAACCTCAGTGCCTGAGGTTGCTGAGACTTGAGCCTGGGACCCATCACTTAGCAGTTCAGTGATGCCATTTTTTTTTCTGTATCTACTGCCTCCAGCACAGCTTTAATCCTCCTGTTATCCTTTATCTGAACTAAGTGTTTCTTCCTATTTTAAATGCAAGCTTTGATTTTATAAAAGCAAAAATCCAGATCATCTTCTGAGAACTGAGGAAAAGGCTGGCATACCACTGGAAGAGGTCAAAGAGGCAACCTATGATTCGAGGGCATCTTCACTGGTTAGAAAGGTCCCCTTGTGCCTGACACAGAACAAAATGTCCTACAGACCTTAGCACCTTCAACCTTTCACCAAACTTACAGAGTCTTGATCTATCAAAGGGCTGATTTGGTTTAAATTATATGTGAATAATGTGGGTTCTATCCTAGATTTAATATAAATATGAAATATTGCTATAGATCTCATAACCAATTTGTCAGTTGTTTCAAAAGGTAGCCTTCATTGTGCTCCAAATAAGAGCTGTCATAGGCTTTTAACTTAATCTGCAAGAATTTCTTTCAAGTTCAGAGAGATCCATCTTGAAGTATGTAGCCATTTCAGTGCTACAGTACTATACATATAATTTAAGATAATTTACTGTATTGGACAAAGCTATTCATACAGAAGTTTAAATATATCCTACAGCTAATGGAGAATGGTTTAAATCCTGATACATGTCCAAAAATGCATAAAGCAAAGAGAATGTATGTATATTAAAAAGAGTGTTCTGAACCTCACGATTAAATAGCCTAAAGAACAAAGCGTGACTTTTTACTATTCTTCTCGTTTGCAAAGGACTGCTGGAGTCCAGTGGTGACCAGCTGCTTCCCACGGTTCACAGCAAAGGGAACACAATACAGATTTGGATTGTGTGATCTCTCAGAGGTTTCAGGAATAAAATACATTACCCTTCATTTTAGATACACACAACTACCATATAGATTTTGAACTAATAATAATCAAATAGGAAAATAACATTTTTTTCAGTGAAATTTAGTATTAAAATATTCCATATAGAAATCTCACAAGGTGGAAGTTGTAAGCCTGTATGCACAGGCATTTGGATATGCATAAAATTTACGTGTAGAACTACAAAAAAGTGTATGAGTCCCTTCTTTATTGTTGGTAAAAGCAAATTTGGGAACTGGATATGGTGGTGCACACCTGTAATCTCAGCACTTGGGAGGCAGAGGCAATGGGACTATGTATTTCTAGACTAGCACAGCTGTCTTGTGACCTGTTAGTCTGACCCAAGCCTCTTCTGCAACAAAGATGTCGGATTCCTTCTGCAGAATTCTGAGCGTCAGCTGGAGGTTACAACAGAGTAAAACACAATGGAGGCTTTACTTATAGACTGATATAATTTTCTGATATTTACCTAGAAGCGAGGGAGCTGGATCACATAGTGGATCTACTTGTCACTGCATTTTTTACAATGATTAGATATAGAAACAACCTAGATTAATTAGTACTGATGGATGAAAGGTGGAGAAATAAATATAAACTGTGCATTTCTTGGACATAAAAAGAATTAGCCCTATAGTCTGCTGCAGAATGCCTGAAACTGGAGCATACATATTAAATTAAGTAAGTCAGACATAGAAACAAATACCGCGTGTTCCCTTTCACATGTGAATGCTAGAATGTTGATCTAAATTGGACGGTGATTCCAAGAGGCTGGGTAAGTGGAAGGAAGAGGAGATGGAGGAAGACTGGCTAATGAGTATGCAAACACAGGAGTTGCAACTTTTAATTTTCTGACACAGTGTATGTAGTGAGCATAGTTTATAATGACTGTTATATATCTTATCATCAGCAATCTGAGGCAATGGAAAGCATGTGATCAGTAAACATTGTTTACATATATGAGATGATCACAATATATGCCTTAAATATAAAGGAAAATTAAAATATGTAAATAATAAAGTCCTGTAAAACAAGTCAAAGAAATGCCTTACCTGAGTCTTAGAAACTGTACTATAAAATAAAATGCATTGTAAAAATATTTTTGATTGTAATAATTTTCAATATTTCCATCATGTTATAAACCCTTGTCTTTTGCTATATTGTCCCATTCCTCATCGTTAAAGCATTTATTTACAGCTATGTGAAGCATTTATTATTGTTATTTCTCACATTTAAGAGCATATCAAAGCTTGTATTAAAATATTAAAAATTGTAAAAATGTCTTTATGGAATAATAGTTCTTTCAATGTTGAATTTTTGGATGTTTATTTTGAATCTTCCAAAAAGTTTATCTGATAGTTAATACTAACTAACAGTTATTAAGCTTACGTTTCTTATTACCAAGATTTTCTCCCCTGTTTTGTCTTCATCTTTCAGAACCTAGTTCATTTATCTTTTTCTTCTTCAGGAAAAAGTGATCCACGGTGTTTTCATGCCCCGTGGTTATCTGGAACTTATGCCGAGCCCTAAGGACAATGAGGTGAATCACATAAGAGCCACGTGCTTCAATAGTGACATCGTCCTCCTGCCAGAGCTGTCGACCTTCAGAGTCTTGCCATGGGCAGAGAGGACCGCTCGGGTGATCTGTGACACCTTCACAGTGATGGGCGAGCCTCTGCTGACTTCCCCCAGGTACATCGCCAAGAGGCAGTTGCGCCAGCTGCAGGATGCCGGCTTCTCCCTGCTGTCTGCCTTCATCTATGATTTCTGTATTTTTGGTGTGCCCGAAGTGATTAATTCTAAGGCCATATCCTTTCCTGCTTCGACATTACTGAGTAACCATGATCAGCCCTTCATGCAGGAGCTGGTTGACGGCCTTTATCACACCGGGGCCAATGTGGAGAGCTTCTCATCTTCTACCAGACCTGGGCAGATGGAGATCTGTTTTCTCCCTGAATTTGGCATTAGCTCAGCCGATAATGCATTTACCCTCTGAACGGGTGTCAAGGAAGTGGCCAGGAGATATAACTATGTAACAAGCCTTGTGATGGAGACCGGATTCTGCAATTCAGGAATTTTATCTCATAGTGTCTGGGATGTCGGCGGAAAGACAAACATGTTCTGCAGTGCTTCCGGGGTGGAGCGGCTCACACTCACCGGGAAGAAGTGGTTGGCGGGTCTCCTGAAGCATTCCGCTGCTCTCAGCTGCCTGATGGCCCCTGCCGTCAGCTGCCGCAAGCGCTACTGCAATGACAGCGGAGACCTGAAGGACAGTGTGCCCACCACGTGGGGATACAACGACAACAGCTGTGCCTTGAACATTAAGTGTCACGGCGAAAAAGGCACCCAGATAGAAAATAAACTAGGTTCAGCCACCGCCAACCCTTACCTGGTGTTGGCCGCCACTGTGGCTGCAGGCATGGATGGACTTCAGAGCAGTGATTGTGTTAGTTCCGATGAGAGCCAGGATCTCTATCAACCGGAACCTTCTGAGATCCCTTTGAAGATGGAAGATGCCCTCACGGCCCTGGAGCAAGACCAGTGTCTCATGCAGGCCCTGGGAGAGACTTTCATTCGCTATTTTGTTGCCATGAAGAAGTACGAATTGGAAAATGAAGAAGCAGATGCAGAGGGAAATAAATTCCTGGAGTATTTTATATAGGATGGGACTTTTGGCTTTAGAGATGACATTGTGACAAGTAGCTAACCTATTAGGAAGAAAAGATTGAGCCTTTGTAATTAACCATACTAGATAGGCATTTGTCTCCCCATCCCCCCCCAATCATTGGGAGATGAAATGGGACTGTTGAGATTCTGATCTCAGACATAAACAATAAATTTGAGGTGAAGCAGCATTCTCAAACTTACTCTGCCTGACAGTCTATCATTTCCTCTGTGTTGTTAGCCTGGATGGAGTGTGGGGGACTGCCACATAATCATATAGTAAAGAAAGAGGTAAACATTAGGAAGACTGGGGAGAGGAAGAAACAATATAATGTACAGACATAGGCTTTTCCTATCTGGGAGACAGATATGTGAGCAAAATCTTATTAATGAAAACACCTTGAGGTCGGCTTTGCATCACTATGAAGGTTTTAAAGATGTCAAGTTGCACAAAGTAGTACATGACAAGCCCAGAAGTTCTTCCTTTGCTTTTCACACTTCTCCATCCCCTCTTTAAAGGCTCAGGGGTCCCAAGGCTGTAATGTTCCCTAGTATCAAACCACAGGGTAAAGAATCAGGTAACCCTGAGGTCAGACTTGAAGGTGGTAGAGGCCTTTTTTTTTTTTTT